GGATGGGCGTGGCTGTGGTCATGGCAGACTGGGTGGATGTGGCCAAGGTGGGCATGGTCACCTCAATGTTGCTCATGGGGAGGGATGCCTGTGGGGGCCAGGCAGGTTTGGGGGAAATCCAGGGAGTCTCTGGCAGGTGGGATGGTGGGCAGGCGGCTTGTCCTGCGAGGTGAGCAAGGCAAGGCAGGGCGGGGGTGCCATTGTTGCAGGGCAAGGCGAGGCAGGGGCCGGGGCAGCTGGTGCCCGACACCATCGGCCCCCACATACAGAGCCAGCGAGCGCATGGGGGCTGACAGTGTCTGTCAGCAGCCATAGCCTGCTGGCCCCTCGACTGGCGCTCTCTGGGGCTCCGCAGCCCGCCACCAGCAATTCAGAGAAGCCGCCTCCTGAGTTGGATGGATAGCCGACAGCTGAGGAGGCGATGCAGTGGGTCGTGCCCAGGAAAAGGAGAGCATGTGAGGCAAGGAGGGATGGGACGGAGGGGAGGGAAACCAGCCATGCTGGAATGCATCCAGCCACGTGGGACCTCGGCGAGTTAGCGGGTGACTGGTTGAAGAGGGACGGTTGCCATCTCTGGGGCATGGCACGCGTGCCCACAGAGCAGGCTCTGAGTGCCGCCTCTGGCACGCGTGCCATAGGTTCATCACCACTGTCCAAAGGCATCCTTTAATCCATCTGACCATTTGCTGGAAATGAATGTAGCCCTTACATGGATTCCCTCAGATCACAAGGTTTGATGCCCTTCAGAGCAGTCTTTAAAATACCTTCAGATAAAATTCCTCCCAAACAGGACATCCAGCACGTTCTTACCTTTTTCATGGACCAGGTCATCTGGAGGTTTAACGGAGGACAGGAGAGGTGACTCATTCTCAGAGCCTGTTTCATTAGCCTTGGCCTTTTTGGGAATGATACTACTGGCTTCAGAAGCGGATGGACGCTTGGACAAGCCTAGAAATGTTTTAAAATTTAAATGTAAGTAGCCTTTCATTGCATTACTTCTGTTTCTCAAACCCCACATCATGCATAAATGCATAAAATCAATCCAGACACAGCTCATGCTGCAATCCAAGTCATCTTTTCTCAGAAGCCACACCCACCTTGTTCGGCAGGGCTCCCATGCTAGGAAGCCCCTCCATGCCTTATTTCAAAGCTATTGCTATCAAGAAGAGCATTATTCTGAGATATGCACTCAGCTTTCCTTAGATGTTCGCACAATATTTGATGGTCCCTGACTAAGAGCAAACCCCACTCCTTACCAGTACCAGTCAAGTTACCTAGCTGGCTAATGAAACTTCTCCAAGAAAACAACCAGGCTCAGAGGGCACCAAGGACCCTTCAGTCCCCGACTAAATATTATGAGCCTGGCCACCCATTTTTTAAATCCCTTTTTTGCTTCAAACCACAAGCAAAATAAAAAAATCTGACTTGGACACACCTGCCATGTTCATGGGTGATCCACTCTGGTATTGTGACCCTCCTGAATTCTGCCTTACGCCAAAGGTCAGGCCCGAAGTTCTATCTGGGGTCACCTGTGGAGAATGCATTCAATAGCTCAGCAACGGGACTCTTTGATTCTACAGCGATTTTCTGTTGCTGTAGAACAAGGGTGTCAAACTCGCAACATCATGTATCGCGACTTTTTTGCCATTGCCGGCAATGGGGTGGCCATGGTTTCTTTATGATGCATCTGGCCCTTGAGCCGGCAGTTTGACACCTCTGCTGTAGAAACACTTCAAAAGATTTACACACGGAGCACCCAAGTTCACCCTTTTAAGTGCTCCATTCAGGCAAGATGCATTTTCTGCCAGGTCCTTCCCCCTTTCCAAAGCCCCACAGAGGGACTCCGACTAGCCCAGAGTCCTCGGGGCTCAGAACACAATTATCTCCAGGACACGGCAAGCAGCAGCAACAGCAATACTCACAGGCTGGGGGACTGTGGCTGCTGGTACATGGGGCAGCTCCAAACCTACCCGATTCAGTGCAATAGGCTGTGCTGTTACGGTGGCCACCGGCCTGGACGTAGATGGCGCTGACGCAGGAATATGGAGATTCCGCGACAAGGACTGGGTAGGGGCAGATATATTGACAGGCTGGGAGATCCCAGCATTGGGTTTAGCTCCTTCCTGCGGTGATGAACATTCTGAAAGTGGCTTCTGCAAGACCTGAGACGATCCTGAGATGCTACTGATGCGTGGCTGTGGCTGAACAGCTAGGGTACTAGTTGCAGGTCTGCCTGAAGAGTGAAATCCTGGAGAAACAGCCACAGCACCTGCCACGAGAAGCAGGAAACAAAAAATTACACAGTTAGACTCAGAAGCTTTCAGAGACTTCAACGTTTGGCATCACTGGAGAACATCATACCTCTTTTGGGAGCACCATTCTGCACTCCAATTCGTGATGAATTCGTGTTAACTCTGTTCAATATATCTGTTAAAAAATGATCATTACTGCTTTCAGAAAACAAAGGAGGAGGAAAATATGCTCAAGGGAATTTATCAATACAAGCCTAGAGAAGGAAAGTAACATCTCACTGTGAAGTTGCACTAATTCTTAAAGGGTTTGCAGTCTTCTCATTCCTGAAAGAAGCTGCAGAATTCCAGCAATTGTTCCAAGAACGGATCCAACAGCACCATAACCAATTATCTCAGTTTAACTACAATACATTTATGCTGATTCCTGCCAGTCAACAGGATTTTTGAGTCAATCTGTTTAGGACAGACATGCAAATTAAGCTTGACTGGCCTATTAGCAACTCCGAGGCAGCCTGCGGTGACTAACTTTGAAGCTTGCTCTTCTTCCCCTTGTGTGCCCCCCCAGTTCAAAACAGCCCCTTACAGGTATTGGTTGGTTTGGAGCTCAAGAACTCCCCAACAAAGATAGGCTCGTCATCATCGTCGTCGTCATCAACAACAATGGGGTTTGCTTTCTGTTGCCAGGGTTCAAGCTCTTCCTCTTCGCATTCCATGAAAAGCTCTGCCATTGTGGAACTAGAGAGGGAAAATAGCAGTAGGTGGAACAGACCACTGTCATGAGTGCCCACCAGCTGTTCTGTTCCAGAAAGATGCCCTGGTTCTGGCATGGTTGCACTCCTTGCTTAAAGCTGTGGTTTACCCAACTACAGGCAGGCCAAGAAAGGGCACAGATGCCCCGCAGCAGATGCCAATGGCTGCATCTTCACGAAAAGAAACCCAAAGGCTATTTTCTCTACTTCAATCCAGCAGACCATGCTTTAACCTAGAGTGTAAATAGGTTTTTGGGGTTCGGAATCATGAAAGCCAGTGACTTTAACAGAATGACTTGGATAACACAACTGTTACCAATAAGAAAGTTCCACATTACAAGAGGCAGCGCCGACCATCCTAAGAGCAAAAGGGTTTTCCAGGAAAGCCCTTCGGGCAGAAGGGAGCAGTGGGGCGGGGGCGGCAGGGAGCCACTCGGCCTTCCCTGCTCCCTTCCCCCATCATCTCGGGGGAAGAGCCGCGCGCGGAGGGGCCTCCGGGGGCGGCTCCCTTCCCTCCCGGGGTCACTCGGAGGGAAGCCCGCTGCCTGCAAGCACCGTTCAGGCCCCTCCGTTTCCCGGGGGGTTCCCGGGCCTTCCCATCCAGGCTCTGGCCTGGACGAGACGGAGCCCCCGATCCTCCCGCCAACACATGCGCCCTCGCCCGCCTCGCTTTCCCCGCCGATTCACCCGGGAGACCCAAGGGGCCGCCGCTCCCGTCCCGGGCCTGGCAGGGCTACGGCGGCCGAGGCGGCGGCGGCCCTGCCGGGGAAACGGGAGCGCCCCCTCCGTTACTCCCCGAGCCTCCCGGGCGATGACGGCCCCGCCGACCGGGCTCGCTGCGGCGGGAGGAGGCCGCGCTCCATCCAAGATGGCGGGGCCGCCCGGGCGCCCTCCCCCGGCCGGACCGCGCGGGGCGGCGGCGGAGCGCTTACCGGGGGGAGCAGCAGGGCGGGGGGCGGGACGCGCGGAGGCCCTCCCCCTCAGGCGCCCCACGTGGCCGGTCTGCCCGGACCGCGTCCCTCCCGGACCGCTCGGGGAACCCGGCGGAGGCGCTGGCCGGTCCGGCAGCCGGTTAGTAGGAGCGACGCAACCGGCAACTTCCCGCGCGCCCAACCTGCGAGGCCCCAGCACGTTGGAATGCGAACCGCCGCGGCTGCTCTTTGTTTCCCGCGTGCGGTCGAAGGGCGTCCGTAGAAACAGGAAGCCCCCCCCCACCCTCGGCTGGCCGGGCCTGCGAGGAGGCCCCCGAAGAGCGCGGGGGCGGGGCAGGCTCGCGCGGGGCGGGGCGGGCGACGCAGGCGCGGCAGGGCGGGGCCTCTCTAGGGCGCCCAAGAGGTCTAGCCCGAGGGCCGCCGCCGCCCCTCGCCGCGCTCGCTCCGTGCAGGCAGGGATCAGCGCGTAATCGGCCGGCGGGGGGCGGGGAGCACGGCAGCTCCTGAAGAGGTTGGGACCCTCGATGCGGCTGCACCACGGAAGGCCCCCAAGCCTGGCAAGGCGCCCGGCAGCCTCCGCGGGGCGCAGACCTGGCCTCGGCTGCATGCGGGAGAACGGCGCCTCCCCTACCCTTGCCCGCCACAGGCCCAGTCTCGGTGGCGTCGCCTCTTTGGCGCGGCTTCTTCGCCGCCGCCCTGGACAGCGGCCCCGCCAGCCCTTCTCCTGCACTGCTGGCGCCGCGGCGGGCCGGCGATGGGCGGGCCACGTGGGCGGGGGCAAGGCCAAGCCCCGCCCCGCGCGGAGGGATCCCGGACGGGCGGCGCGACATGGCGGTGCTGCGACGGCCCGACAGTTCGCCTGGGAGGCTGCGTTTTCCGCCAGCGCCGCGGACGGGCGGCAAGAGGAAGGTGGCCCCGGCTGGGGTGGAGCGGAGACGCCACCTCGCCCGCCTCTCGCGGCCCAGCCGCCGCGGGGGCCCTCGGAGCGGGCGGCGGGGCGAGGGCGGCCTCTCTGCTGACGGTCGGCGTCCGTCCGGCAGGTGGCGGCGGCGGAGGAGGAGGCCAAGATGAACTCGCAGCAGCAGCGCCTGGCCGCCATCGGTACCGACAAGGAGCTGAGCGACCTGCTGGACTTCAGCGCGGTAGGCCCTGCGCGGGTGGCGGGGGCGGCTCCCCACCCCGGGCCCCCCGCGCAACCCCGCTGAGGAGCCGCGTCTCTCTCTCTCTCCCTGTTGCAGATGTTCTCGCCGCCCGTGAACCGCGGGAAGGCCCGGCCCACCACGCTGGGGAGCAGCCAGTTCGGCGGGGCAGGTGAGGAGGCCCTGCGAGGAGGAGCCCCGCGTGGCTGCAGCCGGTCGGGCGCGACGGGCCTCGCCGCGGCTCGCTTAGCGGGCGGTGGGTGCTGCGTTGGCGGAGGCCGTTCTGCCCCGAGTACCCGTCGGGGCCTTCGGCTTTGGCCGGCGTTGGACGTTCAGGCCGCCGCGGCCCTTCCGCAACCGGGGTGCCAGATTTCAATGGCTCCTGAGGTAACGCGGGGAGAAAGCGAGCGGGGCCGCGGGCAGCAGCTGGAGGGTTGCGCGGGCGGGACGAGAAGCGCCTCCTCGGGTTGCTTTGGCCGGCCGAAGAGAGGCTTCTCCGGTTGCGGAGCGCTCGGGCTTTCCTCCGGGCCTTTCCTTTGGGGTGAGGTAGTTTTCAGGGGTTGTTGGGCGGCCCCATAAACGGATCCAAAGAACAAACGCTCTCAGATGATGAAAACCGTTCGTTGTGTTGACCCCTGGGGGGAGGAGAGCGAGGGGGTTCCCAGGGGAAAGTCAGCCGTGAGGGGACGGCTTTTCCCCCTGTGCCTCCCTTCGCACAAAGAGGTTGCCCCGTGACCTTGCCCCCTTGGATCTGGGCTTGTTGGGGCACTAGTCCTTATTGAGGCTTAATCTCGCTTGTTGGTTTTGCTTTTTGGCGCTACAAGGATGCAGCCCTTGTGATGGCTTAGTCCGGTATTCTTCAACGGTGCAGCAGCAGCAGCACCCCAAAAGTCAGGGGAGGACGTCTGGATCTTTCCAAGGAACAAAAGCCATGAATGCCTGGTGTGAGGGCTGGGCAAGAAGACATATGCCAGCCCTGTAGGCAGCATCTGAGGGCCGAGCCAAGGGAGGGCTAGGGGTGCTGTCAGCACTTGTTCCCTCTGCTCATGGGCCAAATGGGGGAGCCAAGGCCAGAGCTAGTTTGGATTGAGACCTTCCTTTGCTTTGGCAAGCCTGGTAGTTTTCTTCCAAAAGTGGTGACCCCCCCCCTTGCTTGTGACCCACCACAGGGTCCCAACCTAGTTTTACAACCCATGACAAATGAAGCAGAAATACTTGAACTTGTGGTCCAAATACTGTTACTAAAGCTAACCATCTTATCCCAAGTGATTGGTTGATAAACATGCTTCCCTGCTATACTACTTGATATACTGTATGTTGAGGTAGATTTAATCATTAGCGTAAGAAGCAGAAGTAATTAATGGTAATTAGGTTTTCTGTTTTTCTTGATGCTTGAGAATTTCCTGTACTATTATCTGTCTAGAAATTGCAATGAAAATGAGCAAAGCTGCAAGCTAGCAACCTGCATGTGTTGGTATCCTTAGTTTTCTTTTTCCATCACTTCAATTTCTATAAAAGAGCAAATGCTTCTGTTACATCAATACGTGCATAAATTTTTAACATCTTAAACGTTTTCTATAGTTGATAATCATAAATGTAGAAGGATGGACTATGTTTCAAAAATTATGCTTCTGATCTAATTGTAAACACAGCTTACCTTTTTGGAGGAGTTGATTTAGTAAGTGATTTCCTTGCTAAATCTTGATGTTTGTTTTTTTTATTGAAAATTTTATAAAATTTTACAATATAAATCCCCCCTCCCCCAAACCCCACCCTCCATCCCTCCCCCCCTCACTTCCCAGAGCCAATCACAGGGTTAACAATAAAATAATCATAATCTAACTAACATTAATCAACTATTAATCTAACAAATCTATAACTTCTTTTAACTCTCTTTTAAAACAAATATACAATTATTAAATACCATAATAACATAATTTTAAATATTAAAAATAAAACTAAATAGCATTATAACTTTTAAACAAAAATAATACTCCAAAATTCATTCAAAAACCAAATGATATTTTTTTGTTCCGTATTTGAACTCAATATAATCAATCCATCTTCTCCAAACCAATATATATCTTTCTTGTGAGTAATCCTTCACATAAGCGGAAATCTTGGCCATTTCTGCTAAGTTTGAGACTTTAAATACCCATTCTTCTATAGTGGGTAAACATTTCATTTTCCAAAATTGAGCAATTAATAATCTTGCAGCAGTTATAAGATTCAGCATCAACTCCATTTCTTTTACATCCAAATCTTCCAAAATACCCAACAAAAATATTTGTGGTTTAAACTTTTATCTTTTTCTTAAAAATATTTTGAATATTCCACCAAATCTTAATCCAAAATGCTTTAACCTCCCTACATGTCCACCACATATGAAAATACGTTGCATCTAAGTTTCCACATCTCCAACACTTAGGTTGCAAATTAGAATACATATAAGACAATTTTTGTGGATCCAGATGCCACCTATAAAACATTTTATAAAAATTTTCCCTTAAATTTTGAGCTTGGGTAAATTTTACATTTCTAATCCAAATTTTCTCCCATGTTTCCAATAAAATCGGTTCTTGTATATTTTGTGCCCCTTTTATCATACAATCCTTAACCAATTCTGTTTCTGAATCCAATTCCACCAATACATTATAAATTCTTTTAATATGTGCTTGAGATTGGTCTTTGATCTGTTTCATCAAATTTTCATCCTGCATAGTAATACCAACTTTTTGATCCATATGCCACCTCATTGACAATTGATTATAATAAAACCATGAATACTCAATATTTTCTTGTTTCAAATCTACTAAGGATTTAAGTTGCCAACTTTGTCCAAACGGACGAAGTAATTCCTTATAAGAAACTTTATCCAAATTAACTCCCCTAGATATCCCCTCTATTACCTGTCCTGGAGTTGCCCATATAGGAATTTTATAATTTAATTTATAATATATTTCTTCCAGACTCGTAATAAGGCACTCCTTAAAATATGAGCCTTAAAATTTGTATCCACCTTTTTATCTATCTAATTTATACGGACGGTTGGTTTATTGTTTAGGGTAGGAAGTTCTCTTTCATATAAGAATAAACAATTTAAATTGGTTAGTGATTAGGTACAGTTATGGTGGCGTAGTATTATGTTAAAATTTAATCCTTGAAATTCAGGAGGAGCAAGGGAACGTAGAACGTATTAGAATTTGAATTGTCTTGGCTTTTTGCCCGCCCAAATGAATTTATTAATACCCCTCTGCCACTCCTCCAAATTGGCATCTTTTTTTAAAGCAGGAATCGTTTGAAACAAGAAAAGAAACTTTGGGAGAACATTCATTTTTACAGCTGAGATTCTCCCCAACAATGATAATTGTAATTTTTTCCAATCATCTAAATCTTTTTTAACCTTTAACCATAAAGGCTCATAATTATTCTTATACAATTTAGCATTAGAAGCTGTTATATAAACTCCCAAATATTTTACCTTTTTAACCATTTCAAAACCTGTATGCATAACTAATGCCTCTTTATCATCCATAGACATATTTTTCGGCAATATTTTTGTCTTATTGCTATTTACCTTAAATCCAGAAACCTTTCCATATTGTGCTATAATTTCCATCATATCAGTTACCGATTCTAACGGTTCAGTTAATGTTAACACCAAATCATCCGCAAAAGCTCTAATCTATCTTATTAACCTTAATTCCCTTTATAATAGAAGACTCCCGAAAAATCTTGATGTTTCATATTGGTAAACTTTGCACATATGTTCTGTATGCTGAGTATTAACTAAAAATGTTGCATATTGTTCCTACTACATACAGGTTCTTTTTCACATTTTGCATAATTGATGGATTTTGTGACTTTGAATCTGAAAATTGGATTTGACAAAATTAAATAAGTATTCAGTTTTAGGAGTATGTGATAAATATTAATACAAAGCTTACATGGAGTCAAAAACACTTTCTATTTTAAACATGGAAAAAAAATGCCTTTCAGCACTAACTTCCTATTCTAAATCATATCTACTGTATACAGTGTAATTTGCCTCATAAAGCTTTTCATTGTATTTTTGTATTTTTAAAAATTGTAGCACAACTTTTTTTTTTATCCTTATCTTTATTTTTTCAGGTCATTGTCTCCATTATAGAAATGTCTTTCATATCATGACTGAATTATTCTAATTCCTGAAAATTAAATAATTTGATTTGCAGTTGGGTATATATTTATAGAACTTGATTAGTTTAGTTTGGGTCCTGAAATCGAGTTTGTTATGTCAGGTAGATTGTCAACTGATTTGTTGAGTTCAAAGATTCTTTGCCTCTGAAGGGAGAAGTTGTATTTTTGCTGGGTCAAAATATCTGTTTCTTATCCTTGTAATGCTAGGATGCTTTTGTTCTTTAGCAAAATTAGAAAACCGAGTTTTCTGCTCATTGAAGAGCATGCTTCAGTATTTTGTGGCAGGTGCTTCATGGCCAATATTTAAGAGAGTTATGTTGTCCTTTGTTTAAGTATTCCTCTTCCGTTGCAGCTCAGCTGTCTTATACAACAGATTTGCTGGTTACTCTTGTGTCTGATGTCATGTAAACTTGCATGACAACTGACAATTCTAGTATTAAATTCTTACAGAATTGTTCTCTAATACTCTAATGTTAAATATTTTAAATTGTATTTGTTTCTTACATACTATTTGCTTATTCTTCTGACAGTTTGACAAAATGAAATGAGCACAATATTGATTAAAATATTTCCAGTAATTCTTAGGGCGTTCCTCTAATTCTTTATTAATAATTCTCTATTCTCTAGGGAATATTGCAAATTTGGTTGTCCAATAGGACTTAATAAAGTTTACAGTTCTGCTTTTCATATTGTGCTTCAAAATTTTAGAGCACTAACTTTAGCATATGTGAAGAAGGTATGTGGGAATGACCTTAGGAAGCTGAGTAGCTTATTACAGACTTGAGCCATAAAATGCAGGTAATCCTTGACTTACGACCACAATTGAGCCCAAAGGTTCTGTTGCTAAGCAAGACAATTGTTAAATGAGTTTTGCTTCATTTTACAATTTTTCTTGCCACAGTTGTTAAATGAATCATTGCAGTTGTTAAGTGAATCTTGTTTCCCCATTGACTTTGTTTTTCAGAAGGTTGCAATGACCCCAGGATAGTGCAC